CTGGGATCAGGGGCTTCCCTGGCACCTTCAGAAGGGGCCTGACTCTCCAGTATCTCGACCTTCTTCTTGCTCTGAGGACTATGGGATCATAAACTTCTGTTGTTTTAAACCATCCATTTTTGGTGGCAGTAAGAAACTGAAACTGGGAAGAAATAAAGAGTCTTTAAAAAAATCCTGATAGAAATAAAAAATTTGTATGACTGTTTCTGCAGCACAAGGCACAGAAATGAGCAACTGCACCAAGATGTTAAGAACATCCCTACTGTGTAACATCATGGCTTCACTGGACATTACATCCAAGACCATCTGTTGTCACGAGGCCCTGGTATCAGACTATATTCCCTTGTGGATTTTGGCCACCAATCATAGATAACAGAACTTGGCAACAGACAGTTGCAGAAATGATTCGCTGGGCAGATGGAATCTTGACTGTGGGGTGGGGAGCATTTCACGAGGAATGCAGAGTCGAACCTAGGTACCCTGGCCATTCTGAACTTGTCTCTGACTTCAGCATCACCTGGTTTTATTCAGCTTTCCAATGAAGCTACGATTTCAATGAGTTAGGCTTTGCGTGCTGCAGAAATCAACCTTTCAGTGTAACCAGAGATCTGGGAAAGAAAATCTGTTATATTTGGGGAAAGAACATAGACCTTAGGGAGGTGGCACGCATGAATAGCAGGCCAATGTCCCAGTGCTTTAGCTTTTCCTGAGGGCCCCAGAAAGCCCTTTCCACAAGGGTAATAAGCAAAGGTAGCATCTCATTTTGTTCAGTCTAGGACCCCACACCTCAATGTTTAGAAAGTAAACATTGGTTCAGGTGTTTGCGTATAAAGTGGTTGGGAGTGACAAAGATAGCAGAAGGATTTGTTGAGAAGGCTGAGCTGCCACCCAGTATGTACAACGATAAAGCATTTGTTTTTATGAAAGACCAGTAAGTTTCTCTTCTGCACCATGAGGAGTGCAGGTTTTAACCAGCAGGGCTGACCTAGGATAGCTCCTTTGTGTCCTCGAGGCCAGCCTGCACAATCCAGTTTGTGCTGGGTTGGTTACTTCCGTTTTGACCTTCGGCACCCATTTCACTGAATCTTAGATTTGATTTTGCACATTTCCCTTGGGGACCCGCAAACACCTCTAGATCTTAAGGGTGTGTGTGTGTGTGTGTGTGTGTGTGTGTGTGTGTGTGTGTGTGTGTGTACTGAAAGAGACATGTAATATAAAGAGAAGACTCATCCTACTCCTTGCTCTTGGCCATAAGGGAAGTACTCTGATGTAGCTTTTTTTTTTTTTTTTTTACTAGATTCATGAATGCTAGCTAAGGAAGTGGCAAGAATTTAAATATCTTATAAGATAGGGCCAAGAATGGTCTGTATGGAGTGTTTAATACATATTAGAACTCAGTGAAATGTGTACATTAAATTTACTGAATTCTAAGGAAATACAGATTAAAATAAAGTAACATTTGAAAAACAATCACCAAACCACTTAAAGAATGCTCCCAAAATTGTGAAGGAAAGAGTATGTTTAAACACAAATAGATTTAATCATTTTTAAGAGCAGCATGTATCAAGGACAACAAATATCCTCATGTACTTTGACCAGGAGGTTTCATTCTTGCAATTGTTCACTTACTGAAATAAACAAAGGAAGCCCCACATAGCAAAGTATTCAATTCAATGATATCCTTTAAATAGGAAGCCGGGAACAGTTATTCACCACAAGAGGGAGATGGTTAAGCAATTGAATAGAGTACCTGGTAGTAATACCTGGTACTGACATTCTGAGAAAAAAAGTATTTTTGATTCTGGATTGTTTTGGAGTTTGGAGTATTTGTGCAAAATATCTTGGGGAAGGGATCCAGCTATAAACAGGAAATTCATTTATGTTCCATATGCATTTTTCACACAGAGCCTAAAGTAATTTTATGCAATGTTTTTAGTGTTGCTGTGTTTTGACTGACTCTTCACAAAGTCAAGAGTGAAATTTTCTACTTGTCCCATGATGTCGGTGCTCAAAATATTTTGGGTTTTGGAGCATTTCACGTTTTGGGTTCTTGGACAAGGGATACTTTACTTGCAATAGCATTGCATGAGTATTGTAAACAGGAGAAGGTACACATATCTGTGTGTACTCTGGTGTTTAGTAATGTAAGTGGATTACAGAAGCACATGCTAACCAGGGTTATTACTCTATGCAAATGTATATATGTATATTAATTTATTTCACTGTAGAATCAGGAGGGACACAGGCCTTAACTGTATACCAGGTATGGTTGCTAGGTGTGAGAAACACACAGCTGAAAAGATGTGCTTCCTGCTCTCACTGCAGGTGGAAGACGGTCACATCAACAGATGCAGAGGTGTAGAAGTTACAAAGTACTATTGGAAGCCAGAGGAGTCTGGGCATTGAGCAAATAGGCAAGAGAAGACTTCATAAAGGAACTTCACAGGAGGGATATGTAGACAAAATTCAAAAGACAATGTGGACAGTTGTAAACAGGGTGTAGTGGCGTACACCTGTAATCCCAGCACTCGGGAGGCTGAGGCAGGAGGATCACTGTGAGTTTGAGACCAGCCTGGGCTACACAGTGAGCTCCAGGTCAGTCTCAACTATGTAGTGAGACCCTGTCTCAAAAAACCAACCCCCCAAAAAAAAAGACAATGTGGACAGTTGTAAAAGGGTAAAAGTATTATAAGTAACCCATTAACCTCTGTATTGATATATTTGCACTCTGTAACTTGCACAAACGGCACAATTCAAAAGTTTTCAGTATATTCAAGGAGTTGTGTAACTACCACACCACAATCTAAGTTCAGAACATTTTCATCATTCCAAGGAGCACCCTAATTTTGTGCATTCAAATATCTTCTAGTGTTAAATGTTTTTATAGTAAAGAATCAGGGTGTAAAGGTAGCAATTCTCCAGTGCCTCACCATTAGGAGGCTTTATGCTGCATGTAAAACAAACCATTAAAATGCCATCGTGTCTTTAAGTTTTAATTTTATTAGTGACAATATACACAGTTACATGAAAATCTGCACAGACGTCTACACATGTACTTAAATAAAAAAGAGCTCTGTTTTAAGAGTAGAGTTTCAGTGGTGACTAGTATATGTTACTTATTTACTGTATAAAAATCTCCCAGTTTATAAAATGTAATTTGCCTATTTTCTTGTGTCCTAAAAAGCAGCTGCAGGAACTGGAAAAAGGATTTCTTCCCAAAGAAAAACAGGCGCCTAGGAGGGCTCAGCACGTTATGAAGAAATGGACAATATTGTTCACGTTGTACACTCAGTGCAACGTGTCTTCATGTGGAGGAAATGTGGAAGACTCGTCACTGGAGGGCTCACCCAGCCTATTTTCTCCCTTCCTCTGTTCACTCCTGCATTCTAAGGCTTGGCAGAGGCCACTTCGTGTGCCTGTGAGTGACAGCCTCCTGCCATCCCTGTAGGCAGCAGTGCCCTTGAGCAAGGGACCGCTCTTGGCTGAGGCTGGGAAGCCACGGTCAGCTTTGGGAGCCCCTGTGCTCCGCTGTGCTCTGGGTCCTAGTCTTCCACTGGCATCTCTAGTTTCCTCCAGGTGTTGGTAGGAATTTCGTCCTCAGGCCCCTGCGGTTGGCTCTAGGATTTATAAGTTGCTTCACAAATACTATCTTGAAGGCATAGGGTGCGTTCTCTCAGGGACCTTTTATCACCAAAGATCCCAAGGAGCTAATCTCTCTTGGTCATGAGTCAGGCATGACAACAATTAGGACATTGTCTAGGGCAGACAGAGCTGTCTGGCATTGCTCAAATCGTATCATATACAGGGTTACCTGCTTGTAAAGCTGGCCCTTCCTACAAGATTAACAGAGCAGACCCCAGAAGCTGGTGGGGGACTTTGAAATTCTTTGAGGCAAGTGACTGAGGAATGGGAGTGAGAATTCAACTGGCAGGCACCAGACAGCTACCACGGCAGCATTTAATTCACAAGCAGGGAGAAGATGAACTGCAAACGTGTGTTCCTCCATGTGCCTTTAGCTCGCTTTCCAACGAGGTCCTGCAGCTGGCGCCAAATGGCTCCTCTCCAGGTTAAGGCACCACATAAAATTTAGTGTCTGTGAGTTAGGGTCATCTTTCAAATAAAGCGTGATTGTTGAAACTGGGACGCAGATTTTTCCAACTGCTTTGTAAACTTAAGAGTCTCGGTCAGCTTGTTCTATCCTACTTAATATTCGGGATATTCATTTAAAAATAACTAATGCCAGTGTAAACATGCCTTAGATACATAGTTCTATAAAATATTGCACATAAAAATTTGTTCAGCATTTCTCCATAGTAATTTTTCATTGTTATAAAAAGGATACAGAATGGTGGAAACTACCTATGGATTTGGCTGGTCAGCTTTTCTTCAAAATGATAACATTACACATGATTATGGATTATTTACAAAGGTGTTAACACATTTTAATGATGGTTAAGTTAAAGACGAAGGAAAAAACTAGCTTAAAGAAAAGATTACTCTCCAAGGTTATGTACTATAAAGATGAGCAGTAAAAATTAGTAATAAAGTTGGAATAAAAAATTTTAAGTAAAAATCCTTGGGACTCAGCTTTCTGGGGTTGTCTCACACCTGTAGAACTTTATGTTTTCATCCTATTTATGTTCAGTATGTTTTCTCTGTGCATCTAAGGATGAGGTATAGCAGGAAAAATGAATATTAACTCCAAGCTAAGTATTGGTGTTGTCTGTTATAGCTATTAAAATAATATTTATCTGTAGTCTTAATTTTTTATTAATGGACTCTAGACATTTTTATTATTACTTTTACTTTTAAATACCACACAGAGGAGTGAGTGAGTACCTTGAAATTCATATTTTAACTAAATAACTGGAAAGGTCTTCACAATGCATAT